TGAGTTAAATAAGTAATTGCCATGTTACTGCTTTATAAACGTTCTTGCTAACAAAAAAAAACGCTTCAATCAATACCTCTTTTTGCCATGCTTTGAATTTTCCATCTGATTTAACACGCAAACTGAATTGACAAGTCTTTAAAATATTTGATTTAAAAATACAAATTCTGACAGCCAAATATCACAATCATAATTGTAATTCTCGAAAATTGTTACTAAGGGTACCTAATAATATTTTTTTTAAGCTATTAAAAATGAACTAATATTTAAGACAAAAATGTTTTTCATTTCTTTTCTTTTCTTAACCTTCTATAAATTATACCGATGGTGACGAATAATTGACAATATTTCACCGATCTTCCTGATTGCTTCACATTAGACAATAACAAGGGGAATCAGACATTCAAGTCACCGAAAAATAATTCATTTTGCTTAGTATTATTTAATCCGTGTTGCAATGTTTACAGTTTTTCTGGTGAATTGACATTAAATTTATCACTTGCTGACCTTACATAATTTAAGTTTATCGAAGTACGTTTGGGACCATTTGTTCCAGACTATGGGTATCTCCGCCCTATTTCTTTGTGGTCAAAACTTGAAATTATTTCAAAAGAAAGGTATATTTATTCTGGAAAAATATCTCTTTGCATCGAATTTTGAGAGTTAGTTAATAGTTTTTTTCTAAATAAAAATATTCAGGGTCATTATTTCGAGAAATTAAGATTTACACTTAGTGCGTGAAAATACTAGCTTCAAAGGAGATAAATTTTCCTTCTGGCTCAGTAAACACCAACCATTACATTTAGAGTGAAATAGTTCAGAATATGGATCATACATACATTCTATTTCATATAAGAATTGTTCACTGCAGGTATCGATTAACTCCACTTTTTGAAATATTTTATTTCTTAATACTCATGAGTCTAAGCACGTATTTAGTTTTTCCAAAATACGTATTTAATAAAGACTAACCCCTCTAAACAACAAATTTTTTATTGAAAATTTCTATTGCACAGGGAATTAAAAACTTAACATTATTTCCTCGAATTTCACTTATTTCGGTTTCATGAAACTATCGATTTGTGCAGTAAATGTCTTATGTAAAGAATATTTGCGCTTAGTACATATATTTTTTTTCTTTTGCAACACTACTTTTTGTGGGAGTAAAGATTTAGTGGTGCTATTCCGTGTCAAACAGTCGTAAAAAAAGATCACCAAACTATTATTGACGCCAATGGTGATAAATTAGTTGTGGTGATAGGTTTTGTGGTAATAGCTACCTAATTTACTAATATAAGTACTGTAGCAATAGTTTTTTATGATCCTCCTAATCAAAAAAAACCGCTATAACGCAATAATTAGCACTTTTTGCGAAAATAATTACAGTACTACTTTACCTCAAAAGATGTAAAAAAATCTGAAAACTATAATTTAATCTTGAATTATTAATTTATTCAAGAGACTTAAAATTTTAAATGGTTTTCAGTATTAAAGAAAAAATTCACCTCTTTAAGCGTCATATAAACTCTCTCAAATACGAATAGTGTCAATAATAGTTAGACGAATTTTTAGGAATCCTCAGAAAAAGAGTATTACAGAAATTACTAAAAGCACTAACATTCTAATTATTATTTTATGCGAACTAATATCATGTTGCTATAGTTATTGATAATATTTCCACAACAAATCATTTAGTTGACACACTTATCACAGAACTTCTATTTTTTTTTTTTGTTCGTTGCCTCACACTAATTCCTTTCCAGTTAATAACATTGTTATGTTTAAAAAAATAATAATGATGTTGAAGCTTTGAATCACTGAAACTATCTTTGCATGTTTACACGTTTACATACTATGATTCTTTTTAAACCCTGATCATCAAAATTCATCACAAGATTTTAATTGATCGGCTTTTGCTAAATTATTTCAAATTTTATTTCACTTAATATTTTTTTTCATCACATTCTTCCTAATTTAGCAACAAACACGTTTTAAAAGCAAAAGCATTTTTAAAAAAAGTTGTTTCTTAGATTTTTAAATTTCCAATTCTCCGCTATCACACAGAATTATCCATCCCTAATAGTCATTTTTTTTCTTCCACTTATTATAAATTGAAGCCAAAGAAAACAACAGTACAAGAAAGATAAATAAAACAAAACTCAAACGCAGGACTCATGGCAAAGCAATACTGTAGTAGAGGTTTAAGATATTTTAAAAGAGAAATTCAAGCATTTTCTTTGGCTAATAGCAGGAAAGAAAATTCCCCCCCCCCCCTACTCTAAACATGAAGTAGACTAGTCAGCTTTCATAATGCACTGCTCTCAGAACACCAAATTTTAAAACAGAGGATGGTATTACGTCAAGTAGAGGTATCACCCGCAGAAGTTTCATTTTCAATATGGGTTTATTTAGAATCCTACCTGGACACTTGCCGAGAGTTTGAACCAAGATAAAGTTTGGTGTCTATTGCTAGTTTTTCGGGAAAGATTCACTAGTTGTGATATATTGCGTCTCTCAAAAGCTCTCGGTGTGCGCCTGGTCACTTAAAAGCTTTCTGTTGGGAATAATTTGAGACTAAAACTGACCATATCAATCCCCTTTAGTCGTAGAGAACGATTTTTTATAAACATTCCCTAAATTCCAGCTTTGTACACCATCTTGAAAAATTGCTAGTATTTCAATAAACTGCTGGTCTGCGTATAAGACAAAAAATGCGTAACAAATTTTTTTCCAACCTAACCTATCAATATTTTATTTCTTCCAAAATTAAAGTGAAAAAAGCTGTAAAATTTACGCAATTTTTTAAATTTTGTTGATTTAATTTCAAAACGTTAAACATCTTATAACAAGATGCACAAAATTCCGAACTGCCACAGACAATAATTTCTACTTTCTTGAGTAGATTTCTTTTAACACTCAGTTTTAATATTGATATTTAATTGAGATTTTACCGAGCATCGACTGTTTTTATTATACATGGTTATTTAGTAAACTTAATAGTTTTTAGCTTAACCTTCTTAACTTTGACTTCTAATTCTGACTTTCACTGCTTCGAGTATTTTAATTAGTTACTACTGTTAAAATAAGATTTATTATACTTTTTTAAATTATAATTTTACTTGTCTTAATCCAATTTATAAATATTACCTCAAATACCTTTTTAATTCTAGCTTTTTCTAACTTTTAATTTAGAGGCACTGTCAGACTTTGATTTTTATCAATCTATTGGATGGTATTGAGTTGGTTTTATTTTAACTCTATTGTCCCCAATAAATTATCGGATGATGGACAGACTACTTTAGGAGCCAATTCAGAATAATAGCTGGAATTAAACTATTAAATTCTCTTTGACAGGTGATGTATAAATAATCTTTTCCCTGAATACAATATAAATGATCCGGCAATGGAGCAGAAAAAAATTTGCAAAAAAATTTATTTTATTCATGGGCATAAAGTCAAACTGAGGAACTGGAACTGCAATCAACTATAATATCAGATGAATATATTGTTAATCAATTTATGTAAGGATCTGCTGCCTAAAATATTTTACGTAAGCTAGTGTTGTAATAAATGCCAGGTCCAGCTTGGCCACCTTGACGGACGCATAGTGTGCGTATCAGCTCTCCTGGAACTATCACGGCTACTAGTCAAAATTCCCGTACTCTCCAGATATTTGAAGGGTTGGATAAATGAGTTGCTCACTTCAAAAGATATAATGGAAGGTACCATAAAATATACAAATTTTCTAACTTTTGCCAATTTTTACTTCATTTTAAAGAGCACTTCAAATTTTACGGCAATTTATTTATTAATAAAAGAAAAAATTTCTATTGTTTCTTACGGAATACATAAAGATATATGAAAATAAACATTTGCTCATTACGAAAATTGCTTGAAAAATTTTTCAAAATTTTGTAATAATATTGAAGAGGCTAAATCAGTACCATCTGAAGGTAATTATCAAAGTTTTTTTAACCCAAATTATTCCAAAATAACGAGGTCTAAGTAACTTCAAAAAGCAGATTAACTTTCAACAAAATACAGCAAAGGAAAAAATGCGTGATCACCATGGAAGTAAATTAAAAAGTAATTTAAAATGAGCGATGACAAATAAAGTGATGACTGTACCTCTTTTCTTAGAAGAGACTTTTCTTTATTTTAGTCCACCGTAGCGTTGAAAAACTTTACCCAACCGCAATTTTATTTATATGAAACTTATTTATTTGCATGAACTTCTTCCAAACTTAAATTATACTATATTGCACTCCAAATTGCATTCTAAAGAATAAAATACATTAAATGTTCTCAGATTTACTGTTTTTGAGTAAAATTAGTACTTAAATGATACAATGATACGATTACATACAAAAATTCTTTTTTTTTTATTAAAATTGCTTATATAATGGTCTGACACTTATATGTAAAAAAAAATTTCGAATCGCAAATAGTGTACACTAATTTAATTAAAGTGATTCGTATAACTGGATTCGTAGTTTCCAATATTATTATCATTGTCTTTATTACTCAAATGAAACATATTATTCAGAAGAAAAAAAAATTTTCATTTTTACGATACATCAATAGATTTAGCACACTGTTATTTTAATGTAATTGATTTGATTGAATTTTAATACATTAATAATAAATTAAAGATAACTCATTTCTTTTCATTTTCTTAAAATGTCAATATTGCTCAAAACTTTTTCTATCACTTCAACATTCAAAAACAAATTTCATAAAAATCAACTGACTTATAGCATTTTTAGTTTTTTTGTTTTTTTTTCTAAGATTACAAATATTTACAGTATTTTGCAAAGTGAATTATATTTGACTTTTTATACAGCTTCACTAAATCGACTTAAGAGGACGCTTTCATACTTTTTATAAAAATTCCCCTCTTTCAGCTTTAAGCTTTCTTAGCAGTAGGTAGCTCATATTTTGTTTATACATGTAAGCTACATGCAAAATAGCTTTGTTTGTAAAATAACCTTAAAGTATGAACAATCTCCAACCAGAACAAATGGCTCCCTACTAAAATATTTGACTGCAAAAATTTTATTGTTTGTTCTAAAATGAATGTTTCTAATTTTGCTAAGCAAGCTTGTAAATTGAGGTAACTTTCATTAGTTTAGTTTAATCACAACATTTATGATTTAATTATTAGATAAAAACTGGTCTAGAAATCGTTGACTATTTGCAATTAAAATATATTTATTCTTGTGATAATTTTGTCTATTAGAATTCACTTCACATGGCTTAAAGAATTATTACATTATTAGAACATTATTTCAAGAATTTTTAACTTGGAATATTTTATTCTTGTGAAACTACTCTTATTTTAAGTTTTTTGTTGTTACTTGTAGAAGTATGGTTAATTTCAATAAAAATATACTTATCTTTCTTTGCAGTGCTTGTTAGATATTAAAAAGAATGAGAAATAAATTGAAATCGAAAGAAAAAACCGAAATAACACTCAATATCATGCATTAAAATTTGCCTGTCATTATATCATAATAAAATATCCGGTCTTCAAAAGCCATTAAAAAAATCGAGGAGATTTCCGTAATCGTGATTTGTAATAGAGCCTCTTCCAGTGTTTTCATCACAGAAAAAAAATGGGAGAGAATTTCTCAAAAACAGAGTGAGATTTCAAAAAGTTAAAAAAACACGAATAGACTTGGAAAAAAATTATTTCTTCAATTACAACACTTTTTTAACATCTTCTAATTGAATATTTTTGCTGCATCATCATATGGAAAATTTTCTATATCTACTTTTTCATCAGCTATTATATTTATTTGGCTGAAAAATATCCGTATTTGTTTCGTTTTGACCGTTTCTACCGACATTTGTTTCATTTTCATTTGTCCGCCACGGAGTAGAAGATGTTGCCTTAACAAGGTATTTGTCCATCTTAGATTCATGCACAAAAAATTTAAACGTCTTACATGAAGAAACCTTACCTACTGTGAACACGTGGTTGTAGAGAAATGTGTTCTGAAAGTTGTTCCCTGGTTCGGAAGGGGGGTGGTGTTCTGATGTTCGCACTGGTTCTGAACAATGCTGGTAAATAGGGAAGCTAGATAACACGGACCGATGTTCAAAATAATGAAAGATCAAGGAAGAAAAGTGAAACAGATTTTATTCAAAATGGCAAAAGACTAAATTTTTTCCAAAATTTGCGCATTTTGAAATTGATTAATAGAGTGCGCGAACTTCTCACGTTTATAATTTTTTATTGCGAGAAAAGAAAAAAATAATTGAGATTCTCGCGCTGTAGTGAAAACACTGCTCTTCAATTTACGAAACAACAATATTTGTTCTTATTGTTTCAATACTTGTATAATTGTAGGTCTATAGTTTGAATTGTGGCTTAAAAGTAAAATATATAATTTTGGAAATTTATCCTCCTATACTTTCCAACAATCCGAATTTTTGAGGTTTACTATATTTGTGGTTGAAACTGATATCTTTGTTATATTTATTGAACTATTTAAAAATTATTTTGTCCACAATTTTTCCTCTTTTAACACTATATTTCAGATCTTAAACTTCATATTATTAAACACATGGTCAAAACTGGCTTTCCATTCAAATGAATACTGGTTGACCAAGAGTACACACTTTGAATATTCGTAGAATGTACCAGAAATTTGTTTAGTTTCAAAAATTTTTAAATATCTACCATCTTTGATGCATATAAAAATATTGCTTGCTTAGCAATCTTGAATTAAATGCATTTTTGATGAACAATATTGTATTATAAATTTTAATTCCAGTAATATTACTTTTAGCCATAAGCAATTTCGAGCACTACTGAAAAAGTTTCGCAGAAAGAGAATTCGTCAGCAAACTGCTCAAGAAAGGGACTATCAAGAATTATTAGGTAAATTTGTTTTTTTTTTAATACTTCAGTTTTTGATAATTATATGTGCTGTTATAAATTGTGTTTACATAAATGTTTATTTTCTTTATTTTAGAACTTAAAAAGAGAGAAAATTCACCAAGTTTTATTGAACAAGAGGAGGATCGGCGGAGAAATTCTCAATTATATGAAGAATTTGAAGAAAGAGAGCGGTAATTTGAACTACTTAAATTCTTCTACCAAAATCTATAAACTTGCATGTTACTAAACTTGTCATGCAAAGATATGCATTACATATTTCCTGTCATTCAGAAACTATTTTACAAAACTAAAATTACTAAAAAGTAACGTTCATTTTATTATTTACTCAATAAATGTCATAAATATATTCAATGACCTTGACTTGAGTAAATAAAATCTGTTTTCAGAGAATATCTTTACATCTGCCAAGCATAGTAAAAAATTCTAATACCTCTTCATGGTTGTTAGATGTTTTAAACTTATTGAAATTTGTTATTCCGTCTCGCACTTTCTTTTCTACCAACATTTTGAAGACTAAGAAAAGGAACCAAGGCTTTGCGTGAATTTCTTAACTTTCCTTATCGAAAAATACTTAACATCTACATGTCACTTGTGTTTTTATTTCTTGATGGATGGGATATTTTGTTGAACTTGCCCCTGCAGCAGAAAAAGTTGCAAATAACATTTTTGCTAATATTCCGTTGCTTGTCAAGAAAAATTTACATGGTGTTTTCCATTTTTCAGTCTGCTTGGTATTTAATTAAAATAACAAATGGTTGTTTCATGTGAAAATTTTCAATGTTAGTCTACAAAAATTGTTTTACCATTGTTAAAATTTTAATGTCTTTCAAACGTTAAATTCATTATGTAGCATTATTAATCTATAACTGCAGTTAATATGTAATTTTGACCCTTTTTTCTATTGTTCATCTTAATTTCAAAGTTCTTTATTGTTATTTATTATCCCTCAATTTTATGAAAAGTTAAGGACTAGATGCTATAGTAAAGAATATAATCAATGTATTTTTATTACTTCATGTAGTGGAAAAATAACATTTGTTCTTCTCTGTCTGTAGTAAACAATTTCCCCACATATTTTTTTTTTTTTAATTATAATTCTAAGCTAAATATAATTCAAATATTTTCCAACCCTGTTCACTTATTTGCTCCTTTATTATTATTAATTCAAGAATTCAGTTGCTGTCTGTAAATATTTTAACATTAATATGCTTTTTTCCTTGTTTTTATACATCATTTATGTTGACTCTTTTTAGACTTCGTAAACATAAAGAATGGCTCTGGAGAGAAGAGATAGCTCAGAACCAATTTAGAAAGAAACAACAGCAGCTGGAATTAGAAAAAATTCGACGCGAAGAAGAGAGGGTAAACTTTTACATAATTTATCTACTAACAAAGCTAAGCAATGTTGCATTTTTCCAAACATATAATTGTGTCGTTATGTTACATAAAAAATTTCACATACTAAATTTATATTTAATTATCATTGTTCTTTGAGTTTATAATTTATTAATGCATACATTTTTTATTTTATTTTTATAAATGTATTTATGAGAGGGGGTGGTCCAGCATATCTTTAGTGTATAGTGGAAGTAGCATCATTGTAGTATTAAGCATATTTTATGAGATACATTTTCTTTGGTTATAAAGGAGGAATATTTATCCCGGGAAAATAAATTAAATTATTTAAGCAAAATTGATTTATTATCTTTGTTATCTTATTATAAAGAATCTGGCCATATTTTTAAATTCATAAAATAAAAAAAAATATGTGGAGATTCATTCCTGCCATCAGGGCTGATTGTGCTCCAGAAAAATTCCGGAAGTTTCCAGAGATCGAAGGTCCAGACGTTTAAAAAAATCATTGATCACAGAAGTTTCCGGAAATCAAATTTTCAAAGGTGGAACTTAAAAATACAGTTTATTTTATTTGTTTGTTAACGAGAGCCGGATACTTTATAAGCTCATTTTTTCATTTCAGATCATTTTTTATCAATAAATAGTTATTATAATCATAAACTCAGGAAAGACATATTTGTAAATTTTAATTACTTCTCCAGGTCATCATACGTATGTGTAAATGGTATAGGTATATGTAAAATTGTAAATATATTTTAACTAAACTAAGAAATATTGAGAATAAGGAAAAAAAAACTTGTTTAATTTTTTTTTTAATGTTTTAATTTAAACTGTCTAAATACTGTCAATTGTTCAATTAATATTGTCAATTAAACTCAATAAATTTTCTGGAATTTTGACTTGAGCTCACAATGCCATCAAAAAGTAAGCTTTAAAATTGAACGTTTTAGCTGAGGGCCGAAGCCCCCAGTCTTAAGGCCAAGAATTCAAAATTAAAACTCAAGTGAATTGTTCCCAACAGACAGGAGCATGGGAAGAGATCCATGGTTGGCGATTTATTGAAAGATAAAATAGCCAAGAACAAAGCCAACCCCTCGTAATCAATATTAAATTTGAAAAATAATTTGGCTATGGCTAATAACCAAAAAGACTGTGAGAATTAGTATAACCCTGTGACCGAAACAATTTTGTGGTAAGAGAAATAATGAGTTAAAAATAGATTTTTATGTTCGATATAGTCGCGACAGTGAATTATTGAGTTTTACATTTGTATTGAAATAAATAGTTAGCTGTTACATTGATTGTTAACAAAAGAATAAAATATTTATATTAGCTTTTTATAAAATGTATTAAAAATTAAATAATTTGTTTAATTTAATGAAAATTTGATTGAGAATGATTTAAAAAAAATGAATTAAAGAAATTTTAAAAGCTAGAAAATATGTAATGCCTATTATGGCATTGCAGTATTCATAAAATGAATACTTTCATTTTTAAAAAAAAGCATATTTATTAGACTCTGTAGCATTAAAATTTAAAGTGTTTGATATTATTTTTACTTTTTTTAAAGCTTTGGGATGTTCTAAATACACTTCTTTCTTACATTTCTCTGTATTTAGAAACAATTAGTATTTATTGCTTTTACATACTATAACCTTTTGTTCTTGTTTTAGCATCCATGTAAAATTATAAGCTCAATGGTGAAGTTACTCTTAATCACTAAATTGTCTGTTTTTGCCGTCAAGCATTAAATATAAAAATTAAAGTGTTGAGCACTGGTTTTGTTAATTTTATGTAATACATTAAGATGAAAAGTACTGTAGTGTCTGTTACAGAAAAAGGGGTAAACTATTATCGATGCCAGTGATACTTTATTACTTGTGGTAATAGGTTCTGCTGGTATTGTGGAAATAAATACCTAGTACAGGTACTGTTGCAACTGATATTAAACTTACCGTTAAATGGATAAGTGCTATACAAAAATGTAAATAGTTTTTAATATTTTCTCATTTTTGGGCTAAAATCAGTTACATAACCCAAAGGAGATTCTATTGTGTATCTTAGAATATCTTAACTATTCTAGTTGTTATTCCTTTTTTATTTTGTTTGTTTTCTCTTTTTGTTTTTTCATTAGAGTAGTATGATTTTGAATTTGGATTAGTACATCTGTTTCTGGGATTAAACATTACCAGAACAATACCAGCACACTGCCTTGTACTTTCCTACCAGTTGAGGGTAGTATCCAGAAGCTTCATTTGAGGAAAATTTTACATACAACATAGCATATGAAATAGGATACAATATATTGAATTAGATTTAAGAAATGCATCAAAGTAAAGATTAAAAATTATCATATGACAATCTATTAAAGTTAATAAATAATGATTAATTAGATGTATTGTTTGACACATAGTTGCTCTTATATATGATTGCAATACTTACATAATTATATTATCCATGCCAATAATACAAACGTTTTGTTGGTCATGTTTAACATCCTCCTATAGCAGATATTTTTAAATAAAATTCAAAAGCAATAAATAAAAAATGTATGATGAAGTCGACAATAAGAGTGAAGAAAATGTTTAAAATGCAAATAAGAATGAGATTTACCTTAAAATTGAAGAATTTATGAATTAAGATTTAGGATCTAGATTTTTTACTAATTAATTTATTAGGTTTTTTTTTCTTTGTAACTTAAGTAAACTTAAAAAATTTCTTAGCAAAAGTGGGAAGGTTATTAAAATAAATATATTTGCATGGGTTATATTGTAATAAGATACATTTGATATAAGAGTAAATTAGAATAATTAGTGAGACTTACATATTTCATAAGTGCAAAGAGTACTGACCCTGTAAATACTGAAGACTCAGAACTTGCAGTAGTTTCTTATATGGTCAATCCACCATTTATAATAATAAAAATTTCCTTTTTTTATGATATTTCTTATCTAAATAGTTCTTAATATATTATTCATTCTTAATTTCTTAATATTTTATTAATTTATTTTTCTACATGTGAAATGTGAAAAGTTAATATTATGTGATGATTTTTTTTTCGTGTATATGTATTTATGCTGTAATAGTAATAATTAGAACTTTTTTTTAATTTAGAAAAGAATATTGGAGGAATTTGAAAAACAGCAGAATCTTGAAAATAAATTGGAATTAGAAAATAAAAAAATGAAGAATCAGAAAGAGGTGGTCTTCAATTACAGATATCCAACTAGTTTAATTTTTACATTTTCTAAATATATTTCACTGTTTCTTTATGTTTCAGAATTTTTTTTTTTTCATTTTGTTCTAAATCATTTCATGGGATTTATAAATATTTTCAATTTTTAGTATAAATCAAAACTCTTCTAGCTATATTGTTCTTGTAAAGTTTTTTAATTGAGACAATAGTTTTTTATATAATTAATCAAGTTTTGTTATAAGTGCAGGACATTAGGGGCCATCTTGTATAGCCATTTAATAAATATTTTATATTAGCCTTGCTTGCCCTTATAGATACCGGGGTGTTAGTTAATAACTGCCTCTAGCATATGTTTTTAGTATGCTTGTCAAAATTTAAATTAAAAAATTGGACATGTTAGATGTTACAAACAAGCAATTTCTTCTCTTTTCTGCTTCTTATGGGCTGCTGATAATTTTTTTTAAAAAAAAAGCCAATGAATACCAATGTTTTGCTAAAAAGCTAATCTTCTCTTATTATTTACCTTTTAATTTTTGGTAATTAACTGTCATTTTGTCTTTGTGCTATTAGAAGAACATTTAATTTAAATTTTAAAGTTTCTTTATTAATTTATTTACTTTTAAAATTGCTAAATTTTGTTGGTGAACCCTACTATAATACTAACTTTAGTTATTATTATCAGTAAATTAAATTCAGAATTTGTTTAAAAAAATTTCTCAGAAATATTTATAAATTAAAATGGATATTTATTCTTTCAAATACCTGATTTTAGAGAGAGAAAAAAATTGCATTTTCTGTATTATATTAATTTATTGTGTAAAAAATATTGTACTTTGATATTTTATTTGATACATATTTTCAATATGATCCTTAACTTTCACACAACTATCAAATCCTTGATCTGGATCTTCAAAGCGATTGGATAATCTTCAACATGTATCTTTTAAGTGTTATATTTCCCTTACATACTAGTCAGATTTATACAAGCATCAGATTATTTATTCAGGCCTGATATTCCTCCCATTTTCTACATTTTAGAAAAGAAAAAATAATGAAGGAAAATGCCTTGTTAAATGTTTATTTTTCTTAATATTTCTACATTATTTTATTGTTATACTTCATAATTTTTTTATTGTATTTAATCATGATTAAAATATAAAACTTAACAATTTGTTAGACTGTTAATGTGCACTGCACGAAATAAAAAAAACGGCCTACCCTGAATAACTTTTGATCTAATGATCAGATTTTCACATTCAAGGACTCCATTTTAATGGCTCAAGGGGCTGACCTCAAGTATGCTAATTAGTAAGGGCAGACGATATTTTAAATTTTGGAATTGGACAAGAAATGTACTTTCTCTAAATAAACATACCTTTTTTTCAATGGATTCAGATTTTTGACCCCCAAATTATAGGGGGTAGCCGCAATCTGGGAAATATGGTCCCCCATAGTTTGGTCAGGTGAGCGATTCAAAGTTTGGACTCCTAATGTTAATTTTATTTTTGTGTGTTTCACCGTATCTTGAGAACTTTTTAAGCAAATTAAAAAATATTTGCACACAATTAAAAAATTTGCTTATTCAAAGATAATTCCATGCAAAAAATAAATTTTAGTAAATATTTACTATTTTTAATTGTTTTTCTCTTCAAACCATTAAGATGGAGTCCTAGAACGTGATGTTCCAATCATTAAAGTTATTCATGTTAATCAAAAGTTATCCAGGGTGGTCCTTTTTTATTTTGCTTACTGTACACATACAGTTAAAAAAAAACATATAGCGTAAATATGTACCCATAGCACATATAGCATAAATAATTAAAATGATATCTTTCATGTAGAATTGTTCCACACACTTTTTTAATTATTTTTTTATGATTTGAGTCGATAGGTATTTTCAGACTTTTTGTTCTCGTCCGCTCTCGTGCCTGTTTTTATAACATTGAAAGCTTTAACACATTGACTACAATTTTAAATTTCTTGGATATCATTTTATTTTTCAGGTATTATATTGTCAATCTCACTTTATAAGGGAATGGTTTTCAGATTTTAAGAGATAAAAAGAATAGTCTTTTTATAAGAAATGTAGTTGGGGCTTTATACTACTATACCTGTTTTTGTAAACATAATTAATTGAAGTGCTTATAAAAAACATACTTTGCAGTTATGGAAAAAGGTTTCCTCCGAGAAATACATTGCATGGCAACCATAGAAGGGAAATCTGAAATCAATGAAAGAAAACAAAGAATTTGATTGAAATTTCCTCTCAGCAATAGATTATTTAACCAAATGCTAAATCAATTTATCATTGTTAGGGAAAACACATGCAAAGTGGCATTTTAAAGAATATGAATCACTAAGAGGTTTTCTAAAGGGTCATTATTATTATTATTGAAAAACTTAATTTAAAGACTTAATGGATTAATTTAATGTGTTCTGCAAACAGCAAAGCATAGCGTGTTTTTCAGTCCCAAAAACTGTACAACTTTTAACCCACTGACAGCTCTAGGCATAGAAAGTTATATATTTTTTTATCCTTCCAAATAGCTCATAAAAACCTCACTTCATTTTCTAACTACAAGCTCAAATTCTACAGAGGTCAGGAGTTTATTTCTCTTGCTTAATCATATATTTCTCTTTCTTTCCATTATTTGGATAATTGTCTGTAAAATTTTAGTAAATACTATAACTATATACTTTTCCTGTTTGTCAATGTTTGCATTAATTCAGGATCTCAAAATCAGTTGAAGTTTTATTTGGTACCAAAATTTCATGTTACATTCTCAGTATCATTTTAATATTTGATTTCATTTATTGTTTTACTACTTCTTAACTTTTTATTCAGAGTTTTTCAGTTGTATTAAATAACAAAACCACTTCATCACCTAGGAAGCTCTTCAGGAAGCCTTAGCTAGCCTACCAGAGGTATGTTTCCCACACTATTGCACAAATATTGAATGTTTTGTATACCATATTATTTTTTGTTTCTTTGCTGTAAAATATAAAATTCACATAGTGATACTGGTTTTTAGTGAGGATTACCATTATGTGTTGAAAATATGTGAAGAAGTTATTGATTCTCTTGTGGAAACAGAGTTGCGAAATTTATTCTTCTTAATGATGTTTAAATTAGATTTAGTGTAAAACTTTAAAATATTTCAATTTTAGTCTCTCTTCTCCCTTAAAGACTAGGACGGGATTTTGATCAATATTTGACTCTTTTTACCTTTATGCAGGGTATCTAAATTCTGTTGTATATGCAACTGTTGTCCTATCTTTAAGGAGCTATTTTAATTACTCGAAAGAAGTTTGGAGAAGAATGTAAACTTTATTGGCTTTTTTTCTCTTAGGAATCTTTTACAATTTTCTCCCATTTTAGAAACAACAAAAAATTTTAGTTTAAGATTTTATCGTGATTCTGCTGAGGTTCTCTGCTAACCTTTATCGCTTCTCATAAAGTAGTTTTACTTCCCAGGCTGTAAGTAAGACAACTTACGGTGATAACTGCTGAGAATATTATTAGAAAACGACATTAATTTACATTGCCATATTCGTGCATTGAGTATGTCTAAAGTGATTAGTCGATTTTGAAATTGATTTGTCGTAATAACATCTTAAAAATATCTTTATTTGAAAAACTATGTTAAAAAAATCTCAAAAACGAAAAATAACTGTTGAGACAATTGGCGGAAAAGGACGTAGATAATGGATGGAATTGTCCCAAATAAAGTACGTCAGAAGATTATTACTCAAATTCGAAATATCATATTAAGAAATCAAATCAAACTTTACCAAACCGTGTTGAAACAGTAGAAGATCGGAAAAAAAACTTCAAAAACTTATTAATTATAATTTTTTAATATTCATGTGTCTTAGTAACATTGTATTAAAAATATTGAAACTTAAATGACCCTATTAAAATGCCAAAAAAATGAAAAATAGCTAAAGTAATTTCTGAGAAACCACATAGATTAACAACGGAATATCCATGAATCATGCGTATTAATTAATGATCACTCAAATTTGAGCTTCAGGTGCCACAATATTATCATGTTAAAAATACTGAGTTTGAAAAATCATCTAAAGATTGCCAAAAAATAGGATAAATAGCTATAAAAAATAATACGAAAAAAGATGAGTATTAATGATGGAATAATTGTCATACGAGAATGTTAGGAAAACACAACTCTACTTCGAAATTGGCATGCCGTAATAACATTGTAATAAAATTATTGGAATTTGAAAAATCACATGAAAAAGAAGGAAAATCCTGGCCTTAGAAAGTTACTAGAAATTTTTGTTTTTGTGTTTTCTGTTGCTAACATTTTGTTTTTTTTTACTAGCAATTCGCTACTTTCTAGTCAACTGAATCGCCCCTCATGTCAACTCTACTGGAAAATCCAGTTGATTATTGATTTGATTTTATCATCTGAAATAATCATGACCTCTTCTAATTTTTTAGTTCTTTACATAATTCCTTGAAATTTTGAAAGTTTTTAGATTATTGTCTTGCACAGTGTTTGCTAGCTTGGGAATTCATACAAATAATGTTACTAAGTAATGAAGTGAGACTTATATTACAAATCTTGTATAAAAAAAATATTCCATTGATTCGATCTTTTGTAAATTCTCAATTTTTTTTTCATTAGCTTTAAAATATTTCATTTTGTTCATAATGAATTTATACACGACCTATCTGCAATGAATGAGTGTAGATGTAGATATGTCGAAAAAGGGATTTTTTTTAAAAAGTTTATGTTATTACTGTGTATTTAATATGAACTTAATATGTTTTACTTTTCAAAGTTGTAAATTTAAGAATGTAATTGAAATATTAAAATGTTTTTATATTCAGTTTTATCTTTCTCAATACACAAAAAAAATATTGCAGTGAATTTTGTAATTGGGTATAGTTTGTATTTAATTGGTATTTCATAGTGTCTTTGTGTCTATTTTTTTTCCTTGTTAGCAGCTTCTGTCAAAATTTAAGGTTTTCTTTTTCCTTTAATATAAAGTACTGTAATGTTTGAACCTTGATTTTCTTGCTGTAAAGCCATAACTAAATCTTCTGCCTTTAAACTGTGCATTCAATCCAATTCCCCCAAAACTTTCTTACAGCTTCATATTTCTTCACAACCATCTTTTAATGTTTATTTTGAAAGTCTGATTATCATTAAATAATTTTGCAGTTAATTATTAGTAATTAAATTTTTAGGACAAGGGTCCTTTTCACAATCCAATTGCTCCAAAGCATTATACTAATGACAATTCAGGACATCGTGATGGAGGACAAGAGCAACCACAATGTCAGTTTTTTGCAAAAACTGGTGCATGCAGATTCGGTGAAAGGTAAAAGAAAAAATTCTTTTTTCTTATTTTTTTTACCTAAGAATTTAATAATTCATATTTTAAATTCTTGCAGAACTATATTAAAAAAAATCTCAGTTCAGATCAAAAAATCTCAGTAATCTATGTTATTAATGTCTTCTAATCTAAATTAATTTTCTTTTCAATGAATATCAATTTGGTTATCTCTCTTTACTCTTAGTTATGAGAATATTGAGCTCAAATAAAAATATGCATGATTGTTTTTAATTAGTGATTAGTGTTATTAATTCTTTTTAGCAGAGCTTTAATTGGTAAATATTAAAAAAAAACGTTAAAAAAAACTGATTAAACCAAAAAAAAATTCTAATTTGAATCAAAATTTTATTTTAAAAAATTTAGTCATGGACTTATATACCCCCCTTAATAATATTCCTGCCTCCCAATGTTGTTGTGGTCGTGATAAATCTATGTCAAAGTGTTCTAATTTGTGGAGTATTGCTTACATAATTTTTTTAAAAAATAAAAATTATGATAAAGTTAGATTTGCATTTTTATACTCTACACGTTCTTTATTTTTCTTTTTACCCTACTTATTATGAAAGCAGTTTAGATGGGGGGTTTTTTTTTATGTATTTAAAAAAGAAAAGGAAAAAACAATTCTATAGTGTTATTTTTTTCTGTTTTTACATTATAATTCTCTTTTAATAATTTCACAATTTAGCTTTTGTTAAAATAATCTTTGTTGTCTTTAAAGTACTAATTTGAATTATCATTATACTAAGCATCCTATTATGGAAGCAATCACATAACTTTTTTTTTCTAAAAATAATGTAAGTGCAGTAGAGTCCCGATTATCCGAGTTAATGTGGACCACGACTAACTCGGATAACTGAAAAACTCGGTTAAAACGAAGAGTATAAAAAAAAAAAGAAAAAGTTGGTATAAATGTAATATATTTAAGAAATATAAATTTTATACGAGTATACCACATACAATTCCTATTACAGTAGGCAACCGATTATCCGGAACGATCGGGACCATCTCTATTCCGGATAACTGATTTTTCCGGTTTTTTGAATAGCTACAAAAAGCTGTTTCTTTTATTGTTAAATCCAACTTAAAAAAAAATATTTGGAAATAATCTTAAAAAGAAGAAAAAACGATGAAGTAATACACTAATGATTATTTCCAAAATGATGGTAAGGTAAACATCTTTCAAAAAAGAAAGAAAAATCCTAAAATCCTATGAGGAAAAAAACATTTTTTTAAGAAAAATGGCTGGAAAATTTATCAAATTTCGTTCCGGTTTTTTGGTTTTCCGGTTTTCTGATTTCCGGATAACGGGTTCTGTACTGTACTATTAAAAAACTTTCTTGAAAAAACTTAAAAAGTATACTTTGTGAGAATTAAAGAGTTTTTAATTAAAAAAAAGTCCTTATTCGTTTTTTGTTTTACATAACTTTGGTGCTTTTCTGCAGAAATGTTTCGCCATTTTTTAGGGATAACAGGAAGACTGGTGTCACCTCTTTTTGCTGTTCTATGTATTCAGTAGCATTTTCGACAGCTTGAAGTTCATCTATGTGAGAGATTTTTATATGTTGATTTTTATCGTCACTGTCTTCATCATCTTCGCTAGGTTCATTTTCATTATTGACAATATTAACGATCATTTCATGGGATAGAGTTGTTAGATTTTGTTTTCCCGAGTGTTTGGAAGATAAAATTCAGATTTATTTTTCGGCGGTATTTTTNCAATACCATGAAGCAATCACATAACTTTTTTTTTTAAAAAATAATGTAAGTATATAAATTATATTTTTTTGGTTCGCTTAGAAGTTTATATTTGATATTATGTGTTTAATAATTTATTTTATTACAGATGCTCTCGGGGTCATATACACCCAAGTGTCAGCACAACTATTCTAATCAAAGGAATGTTCACACATTATAGTATAGATCACACAGGAAGAGAAGATCATGATACTGATATGGCATTGGAATATGATGATAAAGAAACTTATGAAGACTTCAAAAATTTCTATGTTGATGTTTTGCCAGAATTTAAAAAATATGGCAAAGTTGTTCAATTCAAAGTCTGCTGTAATCATGAACCTCATCTACGTGGGAATGTTTATATCCAGTATTCTAAGTAATTTTTATATATAAATATGTGTTTCTATTTCATTGTATATTGCTTTTTAAATTATTATATTCTAAATGTAATTCTTGGATTAAATATTTTTCACATTTATATCTTTCCGTGTTTTCTATTTTTTTTTTAAATCCTTTTTTTTATCTACTGATGAGGGTATTAAAAAGCAATTAATTTGTCTTTGTTATGAAAAATTTATTAGAATATATTTCACTAATTAATTTTTGTAAAATTATATATTTTATCATTTAAAATGAGACCTCTCTGTCCAGTTTTGCTATGTTGATAGTTTTATTTTTATGTTGTAATTTAATCAAACTTTAAGCTACTAATCCATTCTATTAATCAGAGACTATTGAACATTTGTTAAACTGTTTGTCTCTTGGTTATGCATAACACAGCACAAGCATTGTTAATTAATAAATTTGCTGCAAATATGCCTTCTTAATTGTTTTCCAGACCTATTCTTCAATCTTTATTTTTTTATTTCACTTGTTTTTTCTGCAATTTTATCCCTTAATTCTGTATAATTTTTTAGACTGTAGACTAATTAGGCAACTTTTAATTAGTAATTATTTATATAACTGGCAGGCTCTTTTCACCAGCCCTTGTAATTGCTTCTCATTCATTTTTTTTCCCTTAATCAGCAATATCTCCCTCAAAACATTTTACTTTCAAATTATACAATTATTGTAGTTTGATGTACTAACATTTTGTTAATATGTTAATCTTAATGTAATGCATGATTACCCAGATTAAAAAATTATGAATCGGGAAAAAAATTACCTTAAAAATATAGGTTTTTGAACTTGAAAAAAAGAAATAAATGAGAAGTAATTCCACTCATTAACAAGACTTTTAACAATTTAAATTTGAGAACGTTTTTTATTTTGCTCTTTATTGAGTTTTTTATTTATTTTTTAAATTTTCAATATAACTATTAAGATTTATGTCTGATGACATTTAATATTTTTTTTCACTAATTTTTGATTGACGTCTACTTGAGTGTGAGCTTACGGAATTAAGATTTCTTGGAAGAAAAATAATACAATAGTAAATAAATAATTTATATTTTAAGCAAAAAATCACGAAAAAGCACTTAAATTTGCAATAACTTTCGAGCAAGTTGGAATTGTGAAAAAAAATTGGCCTTAAGTTCGCAAATAAAAATGGCACTTTTAACTCCCTACTTGTATTTTAGCTAGATCGACCAAACATGATATTTTTCCCTTCAAATTAAGCAGTTAATAATTCTTAAATTAATTTCCAAATCTCAAATTTTTTATAGGCATTGTGTCAAAAGTCGTAGATTAGCCCCTGAATACAAAAAGAAAATTTTTTATATGTTTTCAAAGTAGTAGTTTTCAAAGTTTTGTGTAGTCGAAAGTTTTAATTTTTATTAATTTTAATTCAATAATTTAATTTTTATTGTTTTTAATGTTATAGTTTTAAAAATTTTGTTTGATCTTAAAATTTTAAATTGTTTTTGTAGTGAAAAAGAAGCTGTTGAATGTTTCAAAAATTTTAATGGCAGATATTATGCTGGGAAGCAGCTAACATGTGAATTTACTCATGTCATCAAGTGGCGATCTGCTATTTGTGGTAAATATCATTAATTTGATATTCCTTTATTATTTAATTCATTTTTTTGGTTGTATGATCCAAAGTATTTTAATTTGATTGTTATGTAATATATATAGACATTCAATGTCTCAAAAGAACAAATTTAATTAAATATTTTTATTTTCTTAAGGAAACCAAAATGATTCAATACAACATCTATCTTATAATTTAATAAACTACAATATTCTTTGCATTTAGTTATAATCACTGTGTGTAGTTCAAATGTGTCTAGTTAAAAAGAATTCTTATTCATTTTTGTAACATTACACTAAGTGTAATTCTTACTATTGTAACAGTCACTCTTTGTGTAATGCTGCAAATGCTAACTGAAAGCCGGTGCTTCATACAGGGTAAGACAGAAAGTTAATCTTGTCAATTCTACACAATCATACATGAAATTGAAAGGTATATGCAGTCACAATTAAAAAAGTTTTAAAAAATCCCAAGTTTTTTATATTAATGTTATGAGATCTTCTACAAAATTCTCTATATTTTTTTCATATTCACTTGCTAATTTAAATAAGTAATATTTCTAATTTTAAACTGAGACTCAATAAGAGTGTAACATTTTAAAAAGGAATGAACTTTCATTTAAGTAATCAGTTAACTTCCTTTCAGAAAAATATCTTTCAATTTGTTTATGAATATTTTTATGCTGAAAGTTTTTTCTTTATTTTAAACTTAAGATCACATACTGTTCAAAAACATGTTACAACTATTGAAAATACGTTTGAGGCCTTTCACTATTCAAAATGTTAAATTTAAAAATATGCTGAAGATAATAAATGATATTTATATTCAAGTTTGTTTAATGCCAACTGAAAATATTGCAGCAAATTTAAATCTGTAGTTATTAGTGTGTAATTGCTTTTTATATTTTATTTCCTTTTCTGTTAATAAGAATTCCTGAAATTCCTAATTTGTGACTTTTATTTGTTTCGAAAGAAATGTAAAATAGAGATAATGGGCTGTGAAAAACCCAAGATAATTTAACCCCTTAACTGCCGCGGGCGTACATATACGTCTCAACCAGACGATGCGTTAACTGCCGCAGGCGTATATATACGCTTTCCCAAAGTACCATGCCTTGCATTGCGCTGCTATAAATAGAACTACACCCCCTACTTTAGAATGCAGTAAAATGGCCTTGAAAGTGTTTGCTTTGCGAACGTATTACTAATTTCGGAGGAGGAGGAATGGGAAAAGGATGTTATGGAAAAGTGATATTGTATTAATTGCTTGGGTGTATTTATTTGAGTAAGGTCGGGTTTATTCTTTTTTCGCTTTCGTTTCCCGTATGTATTTGGTGCTTTTTATTATTTCCATCAATGTCTTCAAAGAAAAATGCATCGCGGAAATGTGCTGTTTGTTCAAGAAAAAAAAATCCCGCTATCAGTGTGATGAATATGATGTTGGTTTATGTGTCCAACCATGTTTCAGGATTTATCATACAACAGCTAAGTTTTAACATCTTTTATATTGTATTTTTATTATTTAATTTAAATTTTGTATTTTCTATCTTTCCTTTCTCTTGTCTTGTAAAAGTAAACTGTTTTTAAATTGCAAAGCGTGCATCATTTTTCCCCACCAAAACACAGTGTAAGAAAGTGCACTTGCGCGAAAAACAGTGGCACTGGGGAGTGCACGTTAATTTTACTCGGCAGTTAAGGGGTTAATATAACTCCAAACAAAAATGAGTCATGACTGTTTTCAAATAATTTGCATGACCTGATTTAACTTACAAACCAAAATGTCCTATAGTTCATTACTAAGGTTGCAAGTTTGTCAAAGCCCAAATATTCTTGATGATTTCTATGAATTATTAATGTTGTTTTTTTTTTCAGATTATCGGAATATAATTTGTTTGTTTTTTACTTATTCTTTTTAACTTTTACTTCCATTTTGACATTAATTTATACTTTTCTGAAATTTATAAACTTATGCATAACTGATAAAGCCTTTAAGAGGAAAGATCAATAACAAGACGACGAGAAAATATAATATTCAAGAGATAATCTGAAACCATTCAAGTGAGGTGATCTTTTTAACTCTTGGAGGATAAATTAAAAATATCATGCCTCTTTAAAGTACAAAAAGAATGCATACGGAAGAAAAAGTTTAGTTAGCCCCCACTGCAAACAAGAGAACATACTGAAATGATGGGGTAACACAGGCTATTGCACTGGACTTCAGCTATTGCGTTAACTTTTATTTTATTATTCATGTCATGCCCATGTCTTTCAGTGCATATATTTTACACTTTGGTATTTGTGTTCCAGTGAAATTTTTAAAAATTTCTCGCATATCTTCCCCGAATTTCTGTTTCTTTGTTCCCGCTACAAACTTGCAACCCTACCCATAACTTCAGTGGAAGTCAGAAGCCTTCTAGTAAAGAAAATGATAGATCAAGGATAAAAAAAAGTCAAGAGACTGTCTCAACTCTTTTCCATCTCAATATGGAATAGGAAAGTAGAAAGCTTAATTATCCACCTCTTCAGTTATAAAAATGTAACTCCATACAACAAATATAAACATTTTTCTAAAGTATAGCTGAAACTTCATCACTTTATGTAAACAAAAGGTGTTTGGTTGATAACAAAACCAAAATGGTTTATAACCTACAGTTTTTTTTTTTTTTTTTTTTTTTTTTTTTTTAAATTATTTATTTTAGAAAAGTTGCCAAGCTTCCAGTGAATTCTCGAATCTATCACTTCTTAATGTATCTAAAGCCTTGAACCTTAAATTAGGTAGATCATCAGATAACACTTTTGTTTTTAAAATTGCCCAGTCACAATAACAGGTCTCACTGTCCAAAAAGAGCCTTTGCCTGTAAATTGTTGTGTGATTTAAGAATACATAAAGTTGAAAGAAAAATAGTGCATGGAAAACAAAAGTTAAATACAGATTCATTATTTTCTGCCAAAAGATGCACAAGAAACGCATATATTAATCCTAATAACATTTTTCATGTTGTGCAGTGAAATTTATAGCTGAAATATGTCCCTTCTCGTAAAATTGTCACAACCTCAAGCATTTGCTTTTACATCCTGATAGGTTAGAAAAAAATTTAATATGTGCATAAATGTGATTGATTCGGCATATTTACAATATTATTGCTTCTATAAAAAATATTATTGTAAAGGAAAGTTTTTTTTATATTTGAAAAAAAAATTTTTATATTCCAAAACTTTTTCTTGTTTATTTTAGGTTTATATTTTCGCAAAGCTTGCCCTAAAGGAATCAATTGTAACTTTTTGCATGTATTTAAGAACCCTTCTAATGAGTTTTGGGAAGCAGATAGAGATTTATCTCCCAGAGAATTTGAAAGCCACTCACATTCACGGAGAAGTCACAATTCCAGGTACAACAGTGAGCGTTATTCTTCACAAAGAAGTTATTCAAGGGACTTTAAGCATCACCAGGATGACTACAATCGGGACCATTATCGCAGTCATTCTAGCAGGGTATCAGAATCAGACAGTGATGAGGATGATAGAAATTATTCTGTGTCCTCTAGAAGCCATTACAGAGATAAAAATGAATCATCACACCATAAGTCTAAGCATAGAGACTCTAGATCGAGATCCCGAACTCCCAAAAGAAATTCTTCGAAATCTGAAAATTCTAATAGTTCCAAGAAACATAAACACAAAAAAAAGTAAGTTTCATTTCTTACATGGATTTATTACCGTTGAGTTTTTATATTCCTTTTCATTTACTTATACATTAGTTTTTAATTGATATTTTAATGATTTTTCATTATTTTCTCTTTTTATAAACTTACATCCTAATAACACTCTATCCTAATAACTTACATCCTAATAACAGCCTATATAACTTACATTCTATGTTTTAGGGTGTTAATAACAGTTTAAAATGAGTTGAATGTTAGCCTCCCCCCTCCCCCCAGGAGAGAAACAAACAGCATTGTTACTCATTCACTAGCTACGAAAGGTACTATTTGAACATAAGAACAAGGAAATTGAGGTTTTCAATTATAAGTTTAATAAAAACGTTCATCATTGTGCTATGTAAACAAAAAAATTTGGATAAAATTATATACTAATATATTGATGGGTCATTTGATATATTAATAGGTCTTTTTCAAATTGAGATTTTTCCTTTACTATGTTAATTTTCACTTCAAATTATGAAAAAAGACACAGTTCACATTGTTCTATTCAACGTTTTCACAATTAATTCAACCCCAATCTATTTCGGCATATTGTCAGTCCGTAGCGAATGAAAACGCCATTCGCTTTACATGATTCAAAATTTCATGATTTTTGACAATTGACAAAAACAATGCCAAGAGGTTTTTTTTTTTTTTTTTTTTTTTTTTTTTTTTGACATGACGGTTAAAACAAGATAAAACCATCAATTGTCAAAAACTTTTCAACCCAGCCTAATTATGATATATTTTAAAGTGCTTAAAAATATTTTTTGAGTGCTTGAAAAGTGCTGTTTAAGATGTGCTAATTTTTTGCTGCATAATTTGGCTACGCACCCTGTTATATGTGCCATAACACTTTAAATTTAAGCATGAATCCGATATACTAAGTATTATTAACAAAGAAGTAATCAGTACAAATGAGTATCAATGGAGTTTTTTTTCATTGAGCATTTTTCGCCTTTGATAGATAAGCATTAATGAAATAGAGCAGAACATTATTATTAACAAGGATGTAACCAATATGAATAAGCATTGTTGGAGTAAGTGCAGAAAATTTTTATAAAAAGAAATATTATTGTCAGAAGTATTAATTCTCTAAGTCCCTGAGTAAAAGTTTGCAAAAATTTCCACTCTACATGCTACTCTCCCATTGAAAAACATGAAGGAAACCAGTTTCTCAATTCAGGAATGTTTGCAGCTAAATGTTCAGAAAAAACCAGGACTGACACTCAGAGGGTTTAAGTATTATTTGCAAATGTATGTTATTTTATGTGCATATTCCTTTTATTCAAAGCATTGTTAAGTTGTGACTGATAAATCAAAGTTTAAAAGATTTTATTCCATCAATATTTATTTCCATAAAATTATTGCTTTCCTCTGTGGACAAGTTACATCACAATTTGGCTTTAATTTTATCATTACACTGAATCTTCTCTAACATGTAGTTAAAAATATTTATATGCTTAAAAATATTTTATAGTATTTTCAATTAAATATTTACATGGCGCAATCGTGTTGGGCATGAATAATGCAATTTTCAAGCTCATCAAGCTTTGTGGATTTAATTCCTAAAGTGCCCTTTGATATTAATGCTTAAAACATATTCTCATCAGAAAAAACTCTATTTTTTCTGGCAATTTTTGGAAAATATTTATTTCTTAAGCTTAAAATACATGATTATTTTAAAGAACAACAGAAATAGATTTTATTTTTTCCTTTAAATTTAGATTTTGTGGAGCAAATTTATTAAATTTGTCTCTTAAGTGCCTTTCACGACCTTAAAATTTTAGTTTCATTTTTACCAAATAAAACCTTGCATTTAACTGAAATTTTTGGAAAAAGTTACCTCTCGAATATAAAGTGTATAACGTCATTTTAAAGAACCACACACGTAGAGACTATTCTACCTTGCAATTGAAAAAGCAACGTAAGTGCTTCATGATTAATTCTGAGAAAAATGGCTTGACAACTTTTCTCCTATTGCTAATGCTATGAATGCTAAAATACAATTTCTAAAAACTGATAAAACAAAATTTATTTTTGAAAAATTTTCTTTTGTAATATGTGTGTAGCTTATGGTGTAAAGATGCCAAATAAATAAAATCTCAATTTTGAATTTTTTGTCGCTTACATTGATTTTTCAATTGCACGACAGTATTGATGTCCTAATTATGTAGGTAATTGGATAAGAGGTGTTCTTTGTTATACCTTTTTAACTATGAACCTGATATTTTAGATTAAGCAAAATATCTGCACTAAAACATATGGAAAATAACTATTTTCCCTCATCAAAACTGTTTTATGAAAATTAAATTATTAGGGTGTTCATAAAGTCTACTCTTAATCTTTATAATTAAGACAAAAAAGTATACACATTTGGGATCACAAATTCATATGTAAGCATAGCAGAGACAAAAATAATATTGAAATCTGATAGATCATTGTTGAGAAAGACAGGTGTACAAACATGTTAACCTTTTGGCCCTTACTGACCACCCCATGTGTAAAATAAATCAATTAGTAATTTTGTAGTTTTTCAAAACATAAAAACATTGTCTATTATGAGTTATTTATGTATGTATTCAAGTTTATATTTATAAGATTTTTTATTTTTAGGAAAAAGAAAAGCAAAAAATGGAGTTCTAATGAAAGTGAAGATAGTTGAACTAGTCTTATAATTGAACTGCTACAAACATAAATTGATATACTTAATAATATTAAAAATTGTATATAACTTAAAAAATAGTTGGTTTTTTTTATAACTTCGTATAAATACTATCACTGCTAAGTACTACTTAATAATCAACTAAACATTATTGTTAAAGTTTAAAAAGTGTTTTTATTACAGTTAAAGTGCCTCAGAAAAAAATTGGTATTTCTAATATTTTTGTATAATCTGCACAGAAAAATTAATAATATTAAACATTTCTTGTTTTTATTGCATAGTCGAAAAGCTAATTTTTTTCTCAAAAAATTTATTGCTTTTATCTATGATATTGGAAAATATCAATTGAAAAATGCTTTAATACCAAACTAGTTTTCAAAATAATTTTCTGTTTATGTTGTGAATATTTAAACATGCTCTTGTTTCTATTGATATTATGTCTCGTAATATTTTTTCTAATTATAATTTATGTACATATGTAATTAATAGTCAATGCATTTTTAAGTAATAAAAATTATTCATTTTCTATTATGTTTCAAGTTCATACATTAATTTAGTTAATAATATATATATTGTTTATAGTTTTGATTTATCGCTCTATGCTCTCAGTCAGTAATTCCCTACTGTTTGTCTACGATGGGTACTCTGAAAGACATTCGTCTGGAGGGGTGTCGGTGACTATGGTAACGAGGTATGATTATTTCAAGTAGGGGTGCGGGGTCCCTCTTTAGGACTGGTTTCGGTGGGAGAAAAGGAGACTTCTTTCTTCGGTGTATTGTATTAGCCCTAGAGTGAAGAGAAATGAGCATTCACGCCTGAAACATCGTTTACAGCGTTCGATTCCTTTTTTAATCTTTTCTCTTTTTCAAAAGCTTCTAGTTTAGAAAAAAAATTCAACAAATTTATTTGTGTTGTTATTAATTTTTTTAATAAATTTTTTATTTTATTTTTCCTCTTTTAACTTTTTTGAATATTGAGAAATGCCTTTTAAATTTAAAAAAGGTGAAGTTTTGAAATCACAAGCACG